TGTCGTTTTCACCGAACACAATTCCCTTAATAACGGGTTTTGAAAAATAGACTCTCAAAAGGAGTTGCTATAGACTAAAGGAGGGGCGTTATAGAATAAAAACAATCTGTTTTTGAACTTTTAGATTCACTTACTTGAAATATTGTAAGCGTGATTCTTTTGAAGAGGAGAGGTCCCCTAAGAACGGGTTTTACAGAAATCGACTGCTATGAGGGTGAGCGAGGATTTACTCTGGCGTATAGATAAAATAAATTCACGTTTTCGAACTACTGAACAAAAAGTAATGAAATTTGATAAGCTTTTTTTAATTGAAGTCCGCTATAAGAACGGATCTTACGGAAATCGAATTTCAAAAGGGGTTTCGGGACTTGATAAAAAATTCAATTTTTGAACTATTAAATTTAGATTTAAAATTTAGTAGACATGTTAATTTTATTGAGTAGAAGTTTACTAAAAATGAGTTTTGCGGACATCCACTTTAGGGGAATGGGTTACGAAAGCATAAAAAATAATTCTACTTTAATTTTCGAAATCCGTTCTGTTTTGTTTTTTTATTAAATCAATGGGTGGGAGTTTTAAGAATGTTTTCATTTTAGCATTCGAATGCTTGTAAACAGTATTTATTCATACATCATGAATTGCCCAGCAAATCAGTCAGGTAACGGATAGTTATAGTATAAATGTTAAATAATAATTACTGCAAATATGTTAAACTAAAAACAATGAGGTCTTCAGCATGTAATTTAAATTCCGAAAATAATTTAAAAATCAGATTTACGAGAATCTAAGTAACTTTAAGGTGTTTATTAATAAAAATTGTTTTGATATATTATTTTAACCTGAGAGCAAACAGAATAAAATATTGTTTTTAATTACGTAAGATATTTCTATGTGTTTCAGAACAATGCAACATTCACAAAAAAAACCAGCTTAATGTTCGTTCAAAACTTTTTGAAGATTAGAAATGTGATAAATGAAAAAGCAGCAGCGTATTTCTCAAGCATTCAAATACACCAATTGCGAATAAAAGCTCTCAAAGAATCTTTTGTATAAAATACACTGCTGGACAATTGCTAAGGACGGATAACACTATCATCCATAGCAACCACAAAATAAAAGGAAGCAAAATGTGGAAAATTAGAATAAGTGCGGGATATTAGTAAGAAGAAGTATGAGTATGCAAATTTTTTCCCACGTCTGTTCATCACGTGATAGCGTTCATAAGAGCTTTAAAGGTTTTGACGCGTGTGGACAGTTGTTGTTTCAAGTCAAAGTTTTACAGGAAATATTCAATAGACGAACTTAAAATTTTTGGCATGTCTTCCCGACATCACATAGATGATTTTATGCATTGCCGAATTATTGGAAAGATCGAAGAAGGGCGAAAAATAACACATGTTGCCAGGGAGTTCGACATCGCTCACTGCGTTGTTTCCCGACTGTGGGAGTCATTTAAAACTACTGGAATGTGTAGTAGACGGCACGGGGGAGGTCGTGTTAGAAGTACGACGCCTGCAGAAGACAGATGAGATATATCGTCCTATCAGCAAAAATGAACAGGCGCACCACAGCTCAGCAGGTGGCAAATCAGTTTCTTGCTGCCTCAGGAAAGCAGATCTCCCAAAAAACTGTTGCTAGACGTTTGAGGAGGAGGACTATACGCACGCAGACCTGTGTGTGTGTCCCATTGACCAGACAGCACCGTACTGCCCATTTGCAATGGGGTCGTGAGCATCACAATTGGACTGAACAGAACTGGGCATGCGTACTATTCTCAGATGAGAGTAGGTTCAGTCTGTCATCGGATTGTAGACGCCAACTGATCTGGCGCGAGAGTGGTACTGCTTATCGTCAGAAAATATCCAGGAAAAGGACCGATATCCAACATGCAGTATCATGGTATGAGCCGGCATCATGATGAATGGCCGCACGCGCCTACATGTTGTTGCGAATGGGACTATGACGGGCCAACGATACATTGATGAAGTTCTACTTCCTCATGTTCGTCTTTTCCGTGGTGCTGTATGTGATAAATTTGTTTTTATGGACGACAACGCAACATGTCATCGAACACTCGCTATTCAAGATTGTCTAGACAGCCGGGGTATTCAACGTCTCGTATGGCCAGCGCGTTCTCCAGATCTAAACCCCATTGAAAATGTGTGGGATGCTTTGGGAGGCAAGTTGCTGGTCGAAAACTATCCTCCGACAAACAAGAACACCCTCATCCGTGCACTCACAGAGGAATGGGATAAATTGCCTCAACAGCTGCTGGATAATATTGTGCAAAGTATGGTACGAAGTGTGGAATGTTGCATCACACTCCACGGTGGACATATCCCGTACTGATACCTTTTTTAAGGTGTCTGCTGACTTTTAGATGCATTGTTCCATTTCTCCGTACGCAGATCAATTGAACATTTTTTTTTCTTTCAGATGTTTCACAGCTTTTGTAGTTTCCAGAACAACAAATATTCTTTATTCTAATGTCTGAACAGTGTAGCAACTATATTTTATCCTACTAGACCTCATGTCTCGCTTAATGTTATGCTACATAGCAATTTGTGTTCCGTACTTAGCAATTGTCCAGCAGTGTATAATCTGCAACAACAAAAGTCACACTAATGTTACTGAAATTTAATAACACGTATAATTGAAACATTTACTACTATACAGTGCAAAATGTACATTTTCGTAGTAAATAAAGAATTTTGTGATGTGGGTATTTTTAGTTTTATTCTTTTTTAAAATTACATTAAATTAAAGTCAAAATTATTTAATGGCATGTCTATACATCATTAAATATATCTTAATGAAAAAACGGCACGTTCATCCAAATAGGTTCGCGATCCCTGGCGTATTGTAATATGCGCAATGGTTTCGAAAATATGATTTTATTTTTAAATAATCGGGTTCATCATTTATTTTCATCCTGTGCTTTTATCTTCGGAAACATGGGTCGCGGAAGAACACTTAAAAAAGAATGCATTTTCTTTCTTTGACATCTTCGCTCTTCAAGTTGAAAGGTTGAAACGAGTTGAAAAGAGATTATTCTGCACCTGTTGAGAGGAACAAAAGGAAATTTCAATAAAACGCAGCTCGCTTTCAGAAAGAAAGAACTTCCCCATTTTAATTAAAAGTCCTCTTAAGAGTCCTTTGTTATTAGAATCTTTTCGTAGGTCATTGGCTGTGCAAAACTGATGCACTGTGCGAGTATTGTCTGAAGGCTTTATTTATCGGGTAAACAAAGCAGGGAAAATAAATATTGAATGAGAGAGTAATTTATACCCGGAAATGTTTCAATAGTTCCATTTCTTTCTCAACCCAAAGGCGTATAAGGATTAGGAAAAATAACGTCTATTTTCTAAAGATTATGAGAAAAATTAGACAATTGCGTATAATACCAAAAACATTTTTCGCTATAATTGATTTTCGAACAAGAAAATAATTTGACATTATATTTATGTTACTAAAGAGTAAGAAACAAAATAAAATTTTTCTCTTTAAAACAATAACTTTTAAAAACAAATAAAATGTTTTATTACAAATGGCAGAAAAAGTTTCACAAGAAACTGGTTAATTAAATGTATAGGGTAAACCCAAAGTCATGCGTACCCTGATTATAAATATTTATTATATTCAAATTGTTATAATTATATATATATATATATATATATATAAATCAATTCCTACTATTAGTTCATTCTCTCCGCATATATACAGTCAAACCTCTATAGAACGAAGCTCTATATTTCGAATGTTTCTATATAGCGAACTTTTTCCTGGAACCTTGAACATTTCACGATTTTCTTCGAAAAATAACCTCTCCAAAGCGAGGTGCATTTTCTACCCAATCAAAAAAGAAACAAATGAAAACTGCATGGAAAACTAGACAAATAATGTCGAAGAATTCACTGTATTTTCAATATTAAGAAAATGTCTTTTTCTGAAATTAAAGAATTTTAAGGGCATTTTATACTTTGAAGCATACAAATAATATCAAAAAGACATTATTTTACAATTAGAACACGGGGACAAATCCACTGAAGTTAAAGAGGATGTCGAAGGTGTTTCTAGTTTACTGGGCAATGGGGATTAAAGATTGCACTTCTTGGATGAAACGTCCAGAACTCTATTGTTCTCGACAAGTTAGGATCTAATAAATCCAGTTCAAGATTTATGACCACAATGAAATGTATTAAAGAGAGAATAATTTGAATTTTTTTTTCAGAAATACTTTAAAAAAGAGAGAACAAAAATTGAATCGCAAAAGAAAATGTTCGTTGTATAGAAAATGCACTTCGCTATAGAGATTAATTTACGAAGAAAGTCGAGAAATGTTCAAGGTTCCAGGATAAAGTTCTCTATACATAAAAATTTGTAATATAGAAGTTCGTTATATAGAGACTCGACTGTATATATCATATTCGAATTTTCAATTGTTAATAAAATACTTTCAATTCATCCCTTCAATTTCCAACACATTTTTTAAACGTATAATGGATGACACTTGATGTTAATTCACTTTTTTCAAATATTAAATCATTAATTAAGTTTAAATCTCATCCGGTATAATTGTTAGTGGAACTGACTTTAGTGCCATTGGGTCTGGGTTCAAATCCTGGAAAAGACATGGGTGTTTGAAAATGTACAGTACCTACAAAGGCATGGGGTTACTTAAAAAAGCTGGTCGAGCCGCAAGTCTTCTCGTGAGGTTGGTGAAAGGGGAAGATAGGTGAGGGAGGTCCTTGACCACTCCCAGGATGTTCTCTCTCAAAATTGGGATGTAACTGAGCAAAATCTTACAGTCACTTGCATGGCGCTCAAAACCAAGGCTAACAATAGGCGTTAGGATTTAGCCCTTCACCGCGATGAATTTCGTGGACTTTGCCCTGATGTTACTGTCGATCAGGTGGCATAAATCACAACAAAAAAATGAATAAAACGTAACAAATAAAAGAAATTGTCCAACACATAAAGAAAGGAAAATTTTTCGTTGCACCTCTGTAGCGCAATAGATGGCACATTGGACTACCAATCCAAAGGTCGTGCGTTCAAATTCCACCTGAGATGGACTACTTTCTGAGAATCTGACTTTTTTACTACTATTTAATTAGAGTAATGGAATTTAATTCATGAATAAATAATAACAAACAAACGAAAAAAAACAGTCATTCACCATATATAGAGTGGAAAATGGCAAGAAAAATTTCTTTCTATTTTGTCACTTAATATATTTATTCTTTCATATGCATATAAAAATTTGTATTAATTGTATTTAATAAAAAGCAACTAAATAAAAATTGTCTGTGTTGACTTAAGTAGGAATTGAGCCTACTTAAAACTGAACTGAATACGTACTACTACTGAATATGTTATAACGGAACCTTTCTTTCACTTTTTCACCAATGTTAGAATTGTTACAACTCAGCTGAGATGGAATATCACAATCCAACTCTATTGGAATGATGGAGAATGTTGAATGCCCTCATGTTTGTATTAACACAGCGTTGCTCAATGTGGGGTCCCACCCCCAAGGAGGGGCAAGTTCCACTGTTGCCCCACAGCCTTTTCTCCCAATATGCTGCGGGCTGCGGTAGCCCAGTGGTTAAGGTATCCAACCATGGCAGGCATGTCATGAGTTCGATCCCAGTACCACTAAAGACCCGCCGTGTAGGGCAGCGATGCACGTTAAATCTGTCGAGAGCTGAAACGTCCTCCCGTGGTGTGGTGTGGTAGTTAGGAGAGGGGGTGCCAGCTCAGGTGTCGTCCACGTCACTTGACCATGGTTCAAAATTACGTGGTCCGTCGCCAAAAGCCCTCGTGTAGCTGAACAGTGCGACGTTACTATTAACTCACTCACTCACCCAATATGCTGCCCCAAATATTATTTTTTTAAAAAAAATATTAATTTAGTTAAAGGAAGTGAAACAAAATACATTTTGACATAATAATAAAATAAAATGCACGTATCATATTTATGGTAATCTGTTCCAATTTACAAATTCGAAAGGAAAAGTAACATAATACTTATCCTATGACTATAAACGTAATATATTTAATATATCAATTACTTAAAAGTGACATATACATAATTTAATATTTATCTTGATAATATTTATGTTTTATAAGTAAGGTCGTATTGTACCCTTAATGGCAAAGCACATTATTATTACATTCAATACATTGTCATTGTGTGGGAAGAGCGACAGGGGCGTAGCTACTGCCACATTAATCATATCAGGCTCCCATGCTGTAGAGCGTTCCCAACATATATAACAACAATCAAACCGTGACCTGTTAAGATACCTCAACAAAAAGAGCGCTCTTTGAAATTTGATTCAGGGCTCACTTAGGACTATGTATTATATCTTTATAAAAATTATGATTGAAAACTTGATCGTAATTATTGAAAATTTGAGAAGCATTTCTACAGGGAAATTGGTTGTGCAAACTATTTAATTACTTTTATATTAATCGTAAATCAATCAAAGCAGATTGTGTAACTTTTTAATGTGAGAAATAATATGATATTGGAGTTTTAAAAGGTATTTGTGTGTGTAATTATAAGAAACACGGAAAAAATATAAAAGATTAAAGCTTAAACTAATATTAAGTAGTTATACATACAGGGGTTTGACAAGGATATTGAAATGATTCAAGAAAGCGCATGCTGGGGCTGTTGTATTTATTTTGGCTATTGTCCATTTTTTTGTAACTCTATTCTCCCAATAACTCTGTGTGTTCAATTTCTAAATGTTGAAAGCTTCAGTCTTTGTGAAGACAATATTTTCTGTGCAATTGCAAGGGAATTCTTATGTATTTCAAAAGTCCAAAGTACGTATAGTTCAACTGTACGTCCATTTTAATTAGTAGTTTCTAAATTGTCTTTTGCTTATGAAACATATCAATATGTACGAAACACTAAAAAACTTATATAATAACACAAAATGTAACGATAATTAAACAAGTAATACGAAAAAATATTTTTAGTCAATTCCTACTTAGATCAACAAAGAAAAATTTATTTTAGCTACATTTTTATTAAATAGTTACAATTAATATAAACATGTATATACATATGATAGAATCACAATATTAAGTGATAATTAATTTCAATTAATTATCAATAAAGTATCGTATTGTCATCCAAAACAATCCAGTATATAAAATTTCAGTTCAAATGAATGCTTTAAAACGTGAGAAAAATAACTTTTTTCAAGTTTTGACACAAGTCACCAAAGGGTCACTAAGTCATCAAAAGTGATGCCAACGTGGCTGTATCTGTAATTATTTAAATAATTAGTTTTAATCAATTATTTTTTATTCATTATAATTAAATTATTGTATTGTCATCCAAAAATCGTGTATATAAAATTTCAACTCGATTGAGTGCTTTAAAATGTATTTTATTAACGATTGAAAATTTCACCAAGATAAATAAATAAATATATGTAGAGTGTGAGATAATAGTAGGAATTGAAAAAATAATTATCGATTGAATAACAATCAGTCGGGAAAAGAATTATCGTTATACCTATCGCTAAAGGTAAATTTCATTACTTTGTTCTCAGCTATTTAAATGAAACATTAATCTTCAATAATTTCTTTCTTTATTTTCCCCAATCGGTTTCTTTTGTCCGATTTTTATATCAATCTTTTTTCGATCAAGTTCAATATCAATCTGTTTGAATGTATTACTGGAAGGGAAGATGAGTACAAACAATTACCTTTCCTAGAGATTATCAAGAATCCGTAGTACAAGTTGTCACGCGCATCATAAAGGATTAAATTGATTACTATAAAATAATTAGAATTGGGATGAACTGAATACGAATGGGTTGCGGGATTGATAGATACGTTTCTCTGAAGTATTGATTGAACAGTGATGCTAATATGCAAAAATAAATCTATACAAGGACGTTAGCGCTTGTATTACTCTATTTACATGGAAAGTGGTATTAACATTTATTGAAACCTTAAATAAAAATCCATTGTTCGCTAATTAATATTGAGTAGAACATTAATAACAACTTCAATTTAAAACCTTTTAAGAATTTATTCGAAATCTCAGTTTCGTATATTATATTATTAAGGGGACCAATTTTTTTTAAAATTAAAAAGACGAAAATTACAACGTGAATGTATAAAATGTTTATTAAATTAAACAAAAATATACCAATTACGCTTACACTCTTATAATGATTAAATTAAATGAGTATTTTCCATTGCATGATTTTTTCAGTATATCATTTTGGAATACATTGGAAATTTCGGAACAAGAAATATCCTTCAGCTAAGGTATCAACATTAAATCTGGATTTCTCACTTGTCCAAAAATCATTATTAATTGAAAAAATTCTTTCAAATGGACATACAGTGTAAATTTAACAAGAATAACTAAATGTTCATATGGAATGTGTTCATTTTTGAAATAGACAAATATTTCTATCCTTTTATCAATTTCACATCGTGATTTTCTCCCTTTGTTTTAATTTTTCAGAATATCAATATATATTCAGTCATCTAATTTTTTCAAACATACAATGACCATCTATTTTAATATCAGGTATTTCCTTCGAAAAAAAAAGCTAAACACAATTCTCCATATCTGCCCAATTAATTAGCGATGCAATAAAAATAAATATATAAACACCTTTGAAAACTTATTTCCAGTAATATTTGTTTCAGACCATTCCTCGACATATTGTAAACATATTTGGTAAAAAATCTGCACTACTTTGGTGAATGTTTCCGATTTGCTTGGATTTGAACCTTTAAGATTGGCGATTTTCTTTTTATTATTAAAGGAAATTTTTTTTCTTCAAATGGCGATTCTTGTTGAAAGACAAAATCAATCAAAACAAGACTAACTTATGTAGCAGGAATATGTTCACCATCAATCTTTTGAATTGTTTTGTGTAAATTGATGCCTAATTTTGTAGAAAATTCTTTAATATACCCGATAATGCATACTGTGGCAGAACATGACGCGCAACTGTTCGGCTTGCCATCTCTGAATACAGGGAGTAACAGATTAGTTTTAAAATATTGAACAGGAGGACACTTTTTGAGGAAGGACAGAACCTATATAAATGGACTATTCTCCGTAGAGAAGGACGATTGGTCACCTTAATATTATACATACGAGGGGTTTTATTTGATTATTTTTTAAAGTCGCACTTGAACGCGTTGAGCCTGCTCGAGAGATATTGGCGGAATGTCAAAGGAGATTGAGTTCACCAAAAAGCACGTCGAAGTATAAACCACCTCTTTTTATGAAAGAACCACCCGTGCGCTCAACCTTTATAGAGCTTTCTAAAGTATTTTCTATCTTTGTGTGCGTTTTTTTTTCATTTACAGAATAAAGCATAATTTATAAAACTTCGTTTGAACAAGAATAATACAGTTAACATAGTACAAAGGTGTATTAAGATATACACAATAAGTTGCTATCTGAAAAATGCAGGGAGAGGAAAATAGTAATTTCACATTTGCTTGTAATTATAATGTGTACAACAACTATCCCAGAACAAATATTCAAAACTCAAATAAAAACAGTAAAATTTTCCACAAATTATGAATCTTGATGATGATTAGTTTGTTTGAATGACATCGCTACTTTTTTGTTGATACATTTTTCTTAGAAAGTGTCTGTTATTTATGTCCTTTATTAATGACACGCACATTTGGAACATTTTCTTTAGTTTTATTGGATTTTTTCTCAAATTTTCTAAGAAAAATTGAAGTCCTTGAAAGTAGGTAAGTATATTTATCTTAATTAAATTATTCACTGGAAATGTGATTTTTATCGTGTATAATAAAATTAACTATAAAATAAATTATAGTTTTAAAACAAACTAAAACACACGCTTTTATAATGAATCGAACTAAAAAGTAAAAAAAAAATATTACTTAAAAGTCACGTATACAAAATTTAATACTTATCTTGTTAATTTGTACGGTTTAGAATTATGATCGTATTGTAGCTTTAGCGCCAAAGTGCATTATTATTGCATTCAGTACATTATTATTTTAGGGGGGCGCGTTAAAAATTATGATTGAAAATTAGG